GGGGGGGGGGGGGAATTGTATTATTATTCCTACAAAAAAAAAAAAAAAAAAAAACTAAATTACATGTAATTCTTTACTCGGTATTAAAAATATATTTGTCCGTAAAAAATAGATTTGTCCCTAAAAAATATAGATCTATTTGTCCGTAAAAATTATATTCATCCGTAAAATAAATATATTTGTCCGTAACTAAATATATTTGTCCCTAATAAAATATACATCTATTTGTCCGTAAAAATTATATTCATCCGTAAAAAAATATATTTGTCCGTAACTAAATATATTTGTCCCTAAAAAAATATAGATCTATTTGTCCGTAAAAATTATATTCATCTGTAAAAAATATATTTGTCCGTAACTAAATATATTTGTCCGTAAAAAATATATTTGTCCGCAAAAATATATTCATCCGTAAAAAATAGACTATTTGTCCGTAAAAATTATATTCATCCGTAAAAAAATAGACTATTTGTCCGTAAAAAAATAAATTTGTCCGTAGAAATGTTGAAGCTTTACAATATACATCCTTAAATGTTCATCTACAGAGTTGACAGCGCTGAAACACTGTTAAGAATACTGTCTTTGAATCACCGGTCTAATTGAATACTTGGGCCTCGCGCTTGAATAGTTTGGAAGTAGGCCTACTCTTCGCCCCCAAAGTGCTTCACAATATTTTTTTGTTTACATGTTCTGACCCGTGACGTCGGTTTTAGAAATAAGCACTTCGTGTCGTAACCTAGTATTGCTAATTGTGCAATTATGATAAAGTGTAAAATTGATAGTGAACGTGCTTTGATTCTAGTGTTGTTATGCTTGTGAACTGGTGAATCCTACCCTGGACGACACCACCCAAACACTATTTTCAATAACGCTTTCTTGACAGTCACCTCCTATGAGGGTGTGTCACCCGGAGCGGCCCGCATCCCTTAATGACACCCACCATTCTGGAGGGTAATGCATGGGTCATCGGTGATGTTACTTCAAAATACAATATAAAGATTACAATTTAACATAAAATGGGTACTGGGGGGACACAGTTCTTTGGTCAATGGATTTCCTTTCTGCACGCAAACAATTGTATGTCCAACAAAGAAAAAACTAACAGTGATAGTTATAATTTAAAAAAAAAAAGATATGTCTTTATACGTGGCATCAAAGATTGCCAAGCGTGGGGGCCGAACCAAAGCCAATCGAAAAACGTAGCTTATTACAGTGCGATGAATTTTTCTCACACATTTTTTATATGTTGCGCTTCTTGTTTTGTTTCCCCTTAAAATATTGTAACTCCGCCAAACGAGATTTCGTGGACAGTGTGGTCAAACCTAAAACTAGCATACCATAGCAAAAAAAAAATAGCATAGCATAAAAATAGCATAACATACCATAATATATCATAACATAACATAGCATAACATAACATAACATAGCATAACTTGTCATGACATAAATATTAACGAGACGTAGCATAACTTAAAGCTTTCGTTTTTTATTGTGTGCGTGATGAGCTTAGATTACTGTATTATTTTAATTTTGGATTTTTTTTTTCAATAAATTATTTTTCGATAAGAAAACTTTTGGCTGCCATTTCCGTTGTCTTGTTGTGTTGTTTACCAATTATTTATGTACGTCCTACCACGTGCTTCTTAATCTCAAAACAACTGATGCGGGAAATCTCGTTTATTTTTAGTAACAAACAATGCAAACAGACCCCACCCCCACCCCCACACCCCCCCCCCCCGCCCAGGCGGCCCAGCCATCACACGCCACGTGACCGTCAAACAAATCAATGACATTAACCCTGCCTTATTTTAAGCAGATTATTTATAAAAAATGAAATTTTTTTGTTGTTTACAAATTATTTATGTACGTCCTTCCACGTGCTTCTTAATCTCAAAACAACTGATGCGGGAAATCTCGTTTATTTTTAGTAACAAACAATGCAAACAGACCCCACCCCCCCCCCCACACCCCCCCCCCCCGCCCAGGCGGCCCAGCCATCACACGCCACGTGACCGTCAAACAAATCAATGACATTAACCCTGCCTTATTTTAAGCAGATT